GCTAACGCAGTCCAAAGCGCACTGAGCTCTGACCGGCCGTATTTGAGCATTGCTCAAATTGCCGGCACGCATTGGCGACGGCATGTGTCATCTATACTATCTATGCTGTGTTTCTAGGGGTAAACGAGGCGCTCAAAAATTACGATTTTTGCAAAAAATGTGAAAGGGCTCTAATGTCATTGATATGCAGCAGAGAGTGGGGGATAGGACGGAGCCCTGAGGAACGCAGTCATTCACTGACATGAATCGCGAACAGCTATCATCCGTTAGGTAAGTGGTTAAAAGAAAGAATTGTTGTCATTTGGAAAAAAATGATTTTATTTTGTTTTTTCTCTCTGATTATCAACACTAGGGGTGTATTCCGAAATATACATCAGTATACTGGCCAGTGGTAATGACGTCACGAGGCCATATTGTACAGGTGTGCTACCATATTTTTACCGGGAAAACGAATATGACGTATGACCGAGCGTGCGTAATGGAGGCCATACACATTAGGTTTTGCATGATGGTTCTAGCCGTTCATGCATAACCGACAGGCAAGCCCTAGCGTGTATGTGATGAAACTGTACAGTTATCGGTCCATGTACATGCAATCGAACAAATATCAAAATTGATATTTTATGCCGCTCGGTTATGTTTGCGCGCGAGCATAACCGAGCGTATGTGGCGTCTGGCGAGTTTGTCTGTCACAGTTCTCAATTTTTAAGGCGTTGAGCAGACGACGGGGCGGGGCGGGCATTTTGTCCGCGAAGCAATAAAGACCGCGTCTGCCCGTCGATGTCTGCAGCTGCCCGCGCCGCGTACACAAAGCACACGATGGGCAGAGGCGGTCAGTTTAGGACGTTCGTTCTAGTGAATAGTCCATCACTAATAAGCGTGTGGCGAGGACTGAGCTGACCGCCCCGCGCCGCCGTCTGCGTTACTGCATATAAACTGGTTTGTATGATCCACGGCGGGCAGCCGCGGACATGCCGCGCCGCCACTGCCCGCCGGGCACCTGCGGCGTGGTCTTTTTGCCCTCTGTGTGCGTTTGAAGTATAGGATTCACTTTGTGCTATTGTTCGCGGCGAAATTGTGTCCGTGATGCTAGCGTACCCATGATCACAATACGGTTTTTCGTTATGCCATTAAATACTGCGTAAATAGTGCCAAATTAGTGTAAAAATAAAAAAAATAGTGCCTCTTTAATTTAAGAAATAAAGACCATTTTTACTGTGTACGCTACCATGACGTCAAGCTAGCGTACCCATGGCCGACCCCAAGAATGGCATATATTTAAGCAACGAAATTGACACACAAAAATAGTTCGCAAATAGTGCCCTGGCTTTACAAAATTTCATAATCAATACTCTTAAAGGACCAAAGATATTGAACTAAACATTCTTAGCTAGTGTCAACCCGGCGTACCCGTAATAGTTCTCATAGAAAATGAACTTTTCTCGTTATCAATTCTATATATATAAATAGTGTGTTAAATAGTGCCTCTAACAGTAAAAGTATTTTATGTGAATCCGCATCACAACAATACATAAAGAGGATGTTAAATTCTAGGAACAAATGTATTTTAGTACAGTTGCACACAAAATTAATTTATGCACTAAGAGATTATCTATATATGTATTTTTACTAAAATAAATGGGTACTTTTTATAAAAAGATATTTTATTTCAATTCGAATTCACCAATCATAAATTCATATAAGAATTTCAACCTACCTTCTAAGTACCTTACTTACCTACTATACTGCGAAAATATTATCTCTTCTGTACATGACTGTACTTCATATATAAAAATAATTTAATTGCTTTTTTATATTGTTTTACTGCGAATTCACATAAAATACTTTTACTGTTAGAGGCACTATTTGACACACTATTTATACATATAGAATAGATGACGAGAAAAGTTCATTTTCTATTGAGTACTATTATGGGTACGCCAGGTTGACGCCAGCTAAGAATGTATAGTTCAATATCTTTGGTCCTGTAAGAGTATTGATTATGAAATTTTGTAAAGCGAGGGCACTATTTGCGAACTATTTTTGTGTGTCAATTTCGTTGCTTAAATATAATATGCTGTTCTTGGGGACGGTCATGGGTACGCTAGCTTGACGTCATGGTAGCGTACACAGTAAAAATGGTCTTTATTTCTTAAATTAAAGAGGCACTATTTTTTTATTGTTACACTAATTTGGCAGTGTCCGTGATGCTAGCGTACCCACGATCAATATACGGGTTTTCGTTATGCCATTAAATAGTGCGTAAATAGTGCCAAATTAGTGTAAAAATAATAAAAATAGTGCCTCTTTAATTTAAGAAATAAATACCATTTTTACTGTGTACGCTACCATGACGTCAAGCTAGCGTACCCATGGCCGACCCCAAGAACGGCATATATTTAAGCAACGAAATTGACACACAAAAATAGTTCGCAAATAGTGCCCTGGCTTTACAAAATTTCATAATCAATACTGTTAAAGGACCAAAGATATTGAACTAAACATTCTTAGCTGGCGTCAACCTGGCGTACCCATAATAGTTCTCATAGAAAATGAACTTTTCTCGTTATCAATTCTATATGTATAAATAGTGTGTCAAATAGTGCCTCTAACAGTAAAAGTATTTTATGTGAATCCGCATCACAACAATACATAAAGAGGGTGTTAAATTCTAGGAACAAATGTATTGTAGTACAGTTACACACAAAATTAATTTATGCACTAAGAGATTATATATATATGTATTTTTACTAAAATAAATAGGTACTTTTTATAAAAAGATATTATATTTCAATTCGAATTCACCAATCATAAATTCATATAAGAATTTCAACCTACCTACCTACTAAGTACCTTACTTACCTACTATACTACGAAAATATTATCACTTCTGTACATGACTGTACTTCATATATAAAAATAATTTATTTGCTTTTTTTATATTGTTTTACTGCGAATTAACATAAAATACTTTTACTGTTAGAGGCACTATTTGACACACTATTTATACATATAGAATTGATAACAAGAAAAGTTAATTTTCTATGAGAACTATTATGGGTACGCCAGGTTGATGCCAGCTAAGAATGTTATGTTCAATATCTTTGGTCCTTTAAGAGTATTGATTATGAAATTTTGTAAAGCCAGGGCACTATTTGCGAACTATTTTTGTGTGTCAATTTTGTTGCTTAAATATATGCCGTTCTTGGGGTCAGCCATGGGTACGCTAGCTTGACGTCATGGTAGCGTACACAGTAAAAATGGTCTTTATTTCTTAAATTAAAGAGGCACTATTTTTTTTATTTTTACACTAATTTGGCACTATTTACGCAGTATTTAATGGCATAACGAAAAACCGTATATTGATCATGGGTACGCTAGCATCACGGACACAATTTGGCACTATTTACGCAGTATTTAATGGCATAATGAAAAACCGTATATTGATCGTGGGTACGCTACCATCACGGACACGGCGAAATTGACCGACCCGCCCCGCCCCGTCGTATGCAAAGTGCCTAATTGTTGCGATGGCGAAAGGTAACGCGCGCAAGCATTATCGCGTCGTTTTGAAATGGTGAGTCGCAAGTGTAATGCCAAATTAGAAGAATTCATAGAAATGTATAAGTCGGAACATTGTTTCTGGCGTGTAAAGTGCAAAGAATATTACCACAGAGACAAACGATAGGCAGCATACCAGAGATTGATAACTAAGCTCAAGGAATTAGAGCTCACAGCTAAAAAAGATGTGATTAAAAAAATAATAGGCGTTCTACACACACCGTAACGTAGCTCAACTGAGAATAATGGCAAAACTGTGCATGCAAACCCTAACGTGTATGTGCAATATGAAACTTAAAACCGTCATGCAAAACCTAACGTGTTTGGCCTCCATAGGAAGCATTCAAATATTTCTTTTTTATTTAAAGAATAATGACATCCGAACAAAAAGAATTTCTTTTAATTAACGAGATGAATCTTCTTTATTCGCACTATTTTTAATATTTCGTCGATTTATGACAAGTATACACTAAGTATTTCGGAAAAATTCACCAGTATAGCGTCGATTCATGACGTCATTGGCACTGGCCAGTATACTGGTATATATTACGGAATACACCCTAAGTATGTCTATCAATAACGAGGTCTAATTTTATAAATTTTGATAAAGAAAAACTAATGAGAAAAAATAACAACAGCAGTGTTAAATTTTGTTGGGAAAGTAGGTAATTCCCACTAGGTACTTAGTAAAAGACTACTGGGAACAAAGGATTTTTTTTTAAGCACCCCAACCAGTCCTACAAATTACTTTTCATCCCACCACCTCGGAAAGTGTAATTTTGCGCTTCGAAATCTGGCTGGAAAATTCTATTTTATTCGCTTGAGCGGCAAAGTAGATTTGAATTTAGAACATCACATATAATGAGTACTCAATATAATTGTAAATTCAAAACGTCATTAAACCTATTTAATGTAACCTCTATGGTGCCAAATTTATGATTAGAACTTTTTAAATTGTGAAAAAATTTAAATTTGGAACCTTCTTGGTTTCTTTGTTTTATTTGCGTGCTTCGCGCCATTTAGTTTTTCACGTTTTATTGCTTAAATATTTTGTCATTATAAATTGTTTTCTTTTTCATTTTGTCATTTCCTCGCTGAGGTGGGATGAAAAGTTACGTATTGCACTCGAGTGGAAAGATTTTTCACCTTGTGCTCGTTTGTTTCCCTCGCTGACGCTCAGGATTCTAATTTAGAATCACTCGCTGCGCTCGTGATTCAACTTTAGAATCCTTCGCTTGCTCGGTCATCCAAATCGAGCACGCGGTTAAAAAGGAACTTTCCACTCTTGTATAATAAATAACTATTCTAAATATTACCATTCCTCAAATTATTTAAATTGGTCAATAGTAATATGAAAAATTACGAGTTTCGTCCGAGAAACCACCTTTCGGTGAGTCGTAGCGTTCAACTTACAACAGCTACTTTATCCTTTTGGCTACAATTTGATTAAAGGTCCTGCGCTATAGCACTATGTATATTAATTAATGTTTTACGGCTCTGTCACTATGCATAGGAAACCTACGATTGCCACTGTGGCAAAAAAGACTAACTAAATGAAATGCAGAATGTTATTTTAATATACTTTTATTTATTTTACGAGCATCTCTATGCCAAAGAAGTAAGCAAGCAGAGATATCCCGCGATATTTTCGGTAGAGTGGAATGTGTTTAATCGACCTCCTCGATGGTAGGGCCGGCGCCGCCACCAGGGGCTGCGCCGCCGGCGCCCGGGGCTCCGCCGGGGAAACCAGGCATACCACCGGGCATGCCTCCGGGGGCTCCACCCGCTCCCTGGTACAACTTAGTGATGATTGGATTGCAAATGCCTTCCAGTTCTTTCTGCTTGTGCTCGTACTCCTCCTTGTCAGCCAGCTGATTAGAGTCCAGCCACTTGATGGTGTCATTGCACTTGTCGAGGATGGTCTGCTTGTCAGTCTCAGAAATCTTATCCTTCAGATTAGCATCCTCCATCGTCGACTTCATGTTGAAGCAGTAAGACTCAAGTGCGTTCTTGGCGCCGATGGTATCCTTCTGTTTCTCGTCCTCGTTCCTGTACTTCTCAGCTTCGTTGACCATGCGTTCGATCTCCTCCTTCGAAAGGCGGCCCTTGTCGTTGGTGATCGTGATCTTGTTCTCCTTGTTGGTGGACTTCTCGACGGCGGACACGTTCAGGATGCCGTTTGCGTCAATATCGAAGGTCACCTCGATCTGAGGCACGCCACGCGGAGCAGGGGGAATGCCAGTCAGTTCGAACTTTCCAAGTAAGTTGTTGTCCTTGGTCATGGCACGCTCACCCTCGAAAACTTGGATGAGCACACCGGGTTGATTGTCAGAGTAGGTAGTGAAGGTCTGGGTCTGCTTGGTGGGGATGGTGGTGTTGCGCTTGATGAGGGTGGTCATCACTCCACCAGCGGTCTCGATACCGAGCGACAGGGGAGTGACGTCAAGCAACAACAGGTCCTGTACTTCCTCAGACTTGTCGCCGTGGAGAATGGCAGCCTGGACGGCGGCGCCGTACGCGACGGCCTCGTCGGGGTTGATGGATTTGTTCAGCTCCTTGCCATTGAAGAAGTCTTGCAACAGCTTTTGCACTTTAGGAATACGGGTGGATCCGCCGACGAGGACGATGTCGTGGATTTGAGCCTTGTCCATCTTGGCATCACGGAGAGACTTCTCCACTGGCTCCATGGTTGATCTGAAGAGGTCAGCATTCAGTTCTTCGAAACGCGCCCTGGTGATAGACGTGTAGAAGTCGATACCTTCATATAAGGAATCAATTTCAATGCTGGCCTGGGTGGATGAAGACAGGGTTCGCTTCGCTCTCTCACACGCTGTTCGGAGACGTCGCAGAGCCCTCTTATTGGTGGTGAGATCCTTCTTGTACTTCCTCTTGAACTCCTGAACGAAGTGGTTGACCATACGGTTGTCAAAGTCCTCTCCACCCAAATGTGTGTCACCAGCAGTAGATTTCACCTCAAAGATACCATCCTCAATGGTCAAGATGGACACATCAAAAGTGCCACCACCAAGATCGAAAATAAGGACGTTACGTTCTCCACCTCCCTTCTTGTCAAGACCGTAAGCAATCGCAGCAGCAGTAGGTTCGTTGATGATTCGGAGAACGTTCAGACCAGAGATTGTACCTGAATCTTTTGTGGCCTGTCTTTGAGAGTCGTTGAAGTATGCTGGAACCGTAATTACTGCATTCTGCACAGTTTTACCGAGGTAGGCCTCGGCTGTTTCCTTCATCTTTGTAAGCACCATTGAGCTTACTTCTTCAGGGAAGAAAGTCTTATCTTCACCTTTGTAGGCTACTTTAATCTTTGGTTTACCTCCATCACTGACAACCTCAAAAGGCCAGTGCTTCATGTCAGCTTGGACTGTGGCATCTTCAAACTTACGTCCAATAAGACGTTTGGCATCTGAAACAAGAGAAAAACATGTTAACTTTCATGTTAAGGACCAAAAGCAAAGACAGTTGTAATGTGTGTTCTCAGATTATTTTTCTCATTCAATATTTTCAGAGACTCTAGTCTAGTTTATTGGTTATCATCATAACTGTTATAGGAACTGCATTTTGTAAAGAATTAAGGAAAAATAAATTGGGAAAAAATTGACAGAAAATTTATACAAAAGGTTTAAATCTAATTTATAAAGAAACGCTATAAAATAATGAACAGGTAGTATGGTCCCAGGCTTAACCTGTTCATAAGAGCATAATACATTAGAAGTAAAAGATTCTTTATTGCTTGGTGTTGCACTAAAATCAACACTTATGGGGTAAATAAATTTGAAATAATTAATCATAATAATTCTATAATGCTGCTTATCAGACAAGCCTTGTTTGTCCATCTCCCTTTTACAAAATAATACATTATTTTACTGTCAATCAATACAAAAAATAAATAAGGCTTTTTTAAGGCCACTTTTGGTAGGTCAAATTATTGTATAATGAATTTGAACATTTCTTTGTAACCTAAGTTTAGTTGTGTCCCTTACCAACAGATGGGCCTCATGCTTGTTCACCATTCTTCCTTTTCATTAAGAATACACGACTCAGTTCTCAATCAATAAAAGTATTATATAAAGCTATAGTAGTGCCGTTGGCAACAGAGGGGCCATATGCTTATTCACCATCCTTTGTTTATTAAAAATACACAATGACTATCACTTTCCAAACAAATCTGTTCATACGCCTAGATAAGGCAATCTAAATAAATCAAAGAAAGTAAACAGTTAATGTCAGATTGTAATAAAGCAGTCGGAGTGCTTGTGTAGCAACGAGTATATTGACCATATTTATTAGGTAGTAGATATTTTCTGTGCTGCTTCCTTGCAGTCATTACGGTACCTAACTAGGGTTGTATATAATCAAAGCAATCAATGAAAGTGTACGCACCGAAGATGGTATTGTTTGGGTTCATCGCCACCTGGTTCTTGGCGGCGTCGCCGATGAGGCGCTCAGTGTCAGTGAATGCGACATACGACGGCGTGGTCCTGTTGCCCTGGTCGTTTGCGATGATCTCCACCTTGCCATGCTGGAACACACCCACGCACGAGTACGTGGTGCCCAAGTCGATACCAACTGCGGGTGCTTTCGCCATCTAAACCAAACAATGGAAACTTGTTACTACAATTTCTCATATAACTAGGTGAAATCTAAAACCCGTCAATTATCACGAAATATGATATGAAAGACTAAACTTGTTAGCGTAATGGCTAATGATACTTGGAATAACAAAGATCGGAAATGGTTAAGGTTAGGTCCGCCATTTTGCGGAAGAATGATTAGTTTGTATTATTATGAATCATCCCAAACACCTGTATGAAAATTCGAAGTTACAATCCCAAACTTTCCGATGCTTGTTTAGTATCGTTCACAATAACAAGTACCACGTTGTTGAAGGACAACGCTGTGACAAACAAGGTGCGCGGTCATAATAGGGAAAATCGATTACGAAAGTTCTGGAATGCGGCATTTTCCAAGATATGAATCTTATATAAATAAAAATGCTTTCATGATTAAAGGGACATTATATGCACATTACTCTTAAAAAATTGGGTAAATGACCGTAACGTGACACTTTAGGTATATACCACTAGGCCGATTCGAGTCATTCGTTGACCTCGTGAACCCTTTGTCAGAGGACGCCTGCCTACTTGCCGCCACGTGAGATTCACAACGGATTTAATAATGTAATTACAGGAAATGCTATGATTTTTCTAAGCATAATCGATTAAGAATACTTGAAAATGTATAGCTACCAGAACAGTAAAGAAGACTACTTGGAATAACTGATTTATCACATCATGCGGTAATTGATAAGAAAAAAAGCACAATATCAGTCATATTTAAAATAGTTAACTACATATTTTAGGAAATATACTATAAAAAACGATGAAGTAAATAAAAAACCATAAAAGTTAGTACTTACTGTGTAAATTTAACTAGAACTTGTAGACTTATAAAAGAAGAACACTCGGAAAACGTGCACGATTGACGGCTATTTTTCTTGAAATAAAATGGCGCCGTTGACGCATGGGACTTTATATGGCAGGCAGTCGTTATTCGACGTCACCGGTACATTCTGGAAAGTTCCCACATTCAACCAATAGCAACGCTCTCCACCTGACGCCCTTTCTTGTCATTGGCTAATTTGCTGTCATGTGCTGCCAAATTGACACAACTGGGCCATGCATGACAATCTGTTATTAGTGAAGCGCAGTAGATTGATTTTTATCGATAGTATAACATTTTTTATTTTAATGTAAATATTTCATTGTAACTTTTATATTTCTGCTGTTACTATAGTTATTATCTATCTAGAAAGATTATTTATATATACATACATTTAAAAAAAGGGAAATAAATTATTACCTACCTAATCTTTATTTACAAAGTAGAAAACAAAGACGGTCTCGCCGTCTGTATATTTAGATCTTTTAAACTACACAACGGATAATAATGCAAATTTATTTTTATTTATTTATATAATCTGTACACACAAAAATAATATAGGAGCAACTTAATTAAAGATAACATGTACAAGGGCACAACTTATTTCAATCTGAAATTTCTTACAGTCGGCCCGTAGAAGGAAAGAAAATAGGTAAAGGTAGTCAGCGTGTACACCGGAATATAAATACATGTTAATACCAATAAATATGGGGTTTACATATACATATAGGTTTATATATACAAGTACTTAAATAATGAATAAATACATACACATACGAATATAAAATTGATGACAATAGATATATAAATACATACATACATATAATATGGACGACGAGAAGAGAAACAATGGGAAGATCAAGGGCAGAATGAAGGGCAAGAAGATAAATAGTGTTCCTTCAGATGCTTTTGAACACTGAGACAGAACTAGAGTCTCTAGAGATTTATATTATAATTTAACCTTAAAAAATCCATATGGTGTGAAATGCTGACATGACAAATGTACACGCTTGCTCGAGAGATAATAGAGGTTTGATGTAAGTGATTGACATGATTATAATTCAATAAAACAATATTTTCTTAAAATAATTGGTTGTTTGTAAAGCCGATTTACGGACGTTTTACGTGATAACGTCATAAATAAACATTGATGAAAAATTATCGTGCCTCTATCGCTTGTTCCGCACTCTTGCTTGCATGCTCAGGCTCAGGTGTTCATCGATTTATAACACGTTATCACGACAGTAATTAATGAATAATTAATCATAAAAATATTTCCTATTTAAAAATTCACAAACAGGTACTTTAACAGTATGATAATACTAAGAACAATTGTTTATATTTGCTGCTTGTTGACAGTATGGTAGATAAATGAGCCGGGTGAAGAAGCTCCTTTTAGGTTAAACATAATATAAGTTTTCACGGCATTTGTCATTCTTGGTAAAAATGTTTTCAGCTGGCATAGAAGTATGTACATTGTATATATGTGCGTGTTTTTATTCGGTCATACTAAATTTAATGCGTAGAATAAAGTCATGGCTTGCTAGAGCCACCCGGTACCCACCTAAAAGTAACTTGATAGTGAACAATTTATTACAGAATCCTGATGTTGTTGTTACAAGTAACTTATGTTTAATAAGAAATTGTGCTTAACTTTACTTACAGTCCACTTGTACCAAAATTATAATAGGGTTAGGGTAAAAATGTTAGTCGTCATTAACATTTTTTCGTCTATCAGGTAGATTATCAAAAAGTATTAAGACACGTATTTTTTTATTATTTACATAATCAAAACATTACTGTGATATGTATGTATGCTGATTTAAAATGTCGACTTAACGTTATCTTACAATTTTTACTTCAAATTAAAGTCACGATTCCCCACTCCCAAACTTTGACGCACTTTATCTTCGTGTTGTTTTGGGTGATTGACCAGAGAAAGAGTGCGGGTCCCTTATTTTCGATAATCCAACTGACGGACTAAATATAATTTCGTTTACTTTACCCCGTCGTCCCCTAGTAAAATTATGACTTAATCCTTAACACATATTTCCTTCTTTGTCAATTGTTTAAAGTCAAATCAAGACTGAATGAGGTTTAAACATAATGAGGTTTAGTCTTTGTTTTAAGAAGTTTGGTGCAAGTGGACCTTTTATTAGAAGGAGAAGCCTAAACCTCCTTCTGTGAGAAAGGTATTCTTCAGAAGGAGGCAACGGAAAGGGTCCGCGAGGGCGACCCCCAGGCTGGCCCTCTCCGACGACGACGGCAGGGTCAAAGGACCTTATGTACATCTCTTTCCACTCTAGTGATACTAGCGGGCGGCAGACAGGGTGGTCTGCCATTCGCATTGCACAATCTTACCCGTAGAGGCCCCCCCCTGCTCAGGTGCTTTATATTTTAGTTGGTAACCCCCCCCCCCCCCCCTCATTCCGGGCAACTGCTGAGCCATTCCTAACGGCTGGCTGAGTAAATGGACGGGATTTGGGGGAAGAGCCACTTAACCTCGTCTCTTACACAGGGCGGGATATGTGCCACTATTTTTTTTAAGCGGGGATTGTGCGATTTACTTGAGTGTGGTAGAATAACACTAGGGGTCAAACTTGCACCTTGTTAAGTACTCCCACCGTACTTGTACATACACCGTAAAAGCCTTGGTCGATTTTTGATAATTTTTTTGCTACGCTAGACATTCGACCCTTTATAAAGGGCGCAGCTATGGTGGGAGTATTTCAGATGGTACAAGGTTCCTTCCAAGTAAATCCCAAAATCCAAGCCTGGAATCAAATATCAGAAATCAATATATCTTTATTCAAATTGGATGTATAGTACAACTCTTTTGAATCGTCCAAAAAATTTTTTTTCCCTACCACTCGTTATGGACATATTTTTTAGCTGCGGAGAAAAACGAGCGAAAAAAACTCCACAACATTAAAAGTCTAATGTAACAACATTTACAAATCATTATGTTGTTACAACGTCAATATAATTATGATTTATTTAATATAGAAAACCTGTTGGAATGATTGGAACAGTTCAAACCCAAGCATTTTTGTCTGTAATATAATCAGACACTTTGTAATAAGCTTTTTTAATAAGTGTTTTTTTTATAATATCTTTAAATTTATTTATGGCTAACTCTTGGATATTGCTTGGGACTTTATTGTAATAACATATCAAATCAATAAATATTTGTCGATAAAAATAGCGCTACGCTGCAGCTCATCACTAAACAACATTTTTTAATTTCATTTATAGCCCTGAGTGGAGACACGTGGTTTTGCAACGGAAATGTGATATATGGTTTTACATTAGATGTTAATTTTTGCTTATTCTTTTTTCAACATCATGTCCATAGTTAGGTACTGAATATCAGTTCCAACGTGGGTCTTAGGTGCCTTGGGCTCACCATGGGTCCAAGCTGTGCCGACACTTCACATGGCTATTGTATTAGCGTAATGCGGGCACTTCCAGTCTGTCTTTTTCACTTCTCATAAAGTGTGATAAGGACAGAATGTTGTCAAGTTTACAAATAGCAAATACGAATTGCCAAGTGAACTGCCGGCGTAACAGTGTGTCCTTGTGATGCTCTTAAAATACTTAAAGAAAAGGAGAGACTGCTGTCAGTTTTACTGATAGCAAAATACGAATACCTTAAAAGATGCACGTCCGATGTGACTTAGTATTAGTGCAGTGCAGTTATTCGTAACTACTCCGGCGGCAAAACAAGATGAGCGGTATTGAAGAGCTAGATTCTGATTAATGTTTTTTCTCACAGTCTTAATAAATAAATATTGTTAAAATCGGTTGGTTTTTTTTCTCAATCGAAGTTAATAAATTTTGTATGTTTTTTCTCACTTAATCTTAGGAAACAAGTTTTATAAAATAAAAACTTTTTTTTGCTCACTCTACTTAATGGCCGTATACAAAAAGAATGCTGGAAGCCGACCAGCGCTTGTCAGCGCTGGTAACAGTTACATAAAGGAAGCAGATTGAAGCCTGTTGTTCATTAATTTCAAAGGCACCGCGCCAGCGTGACCAGCGCGTGTCGGCGTTGGTCCATAGAAATGCTTGCGCTGGTTACCGGTAAGGACCAGCGCTGGTCGTCTTCCAGCTTTCTTTCTATATACTTCCTATCGTACCTCCATCTCTTTTACGTTTTAGTTGGATCCAGCAAGATGGATAGTCCGTGGAGGACCACACGCTGTTCGCTTATTGTTAACCAAAGGGGAGCAATATCATTAAAGACATTTTATGTATGGTTCGGTACTTCAACTGGACGGCTGCCCCCTAGGAAAAATACCTAGCTACGCTCTAGGGTAAATAAGTAAATAAAAAGTCCTTTATAAAAATTTTTTTATTTTCAAAAAACAGTCCCTTAAAGTATAAACATCAGGTATAAAAAAAACACACTCAGCTTGAGACCTATCCTTAATAAAATATCTGATCAACAGGTAACACACAAAATAACTGAACAATTCAATAGGTACTACCTACTACCTAATATTACAAATTATTTAGGTAGATTGTGCTTCTCAGTATTATTAGACCCTTTCCAGATAAAGACATACCTTTACTAAGATCCACAATAGAATGGACAATACTAAAAAAAATAACATCTGTCGCTCACATTGTCAACAGACCTTTTTTGGTTTGCTATTCCTTTCTTAGATAGGCACTGACAACGGCACATGCGGTTGCAACAAAATAATAAAATTCTCCAATCAATTTTGCACTTTGTCCACAACTACTAATGTTGAAAATTTATTGGAGTTTTGTTTAGTTCATAAGAGCAGCTGTGTGTAGAACATACAAAATTGCCTCAATACAAAGGACAAAGATTGCGGTTAGCGATATAAATAATAGGGGACTTATCTAGTATCGATAAAGTACCGAAAAATTACATGTTTCATAAATTATTATTAATAATATCATTGTTCATTTTAATTTAAAAATTGTACACTGACCCACATCATAATACTTAAAATAAGTAATTCATGTATAGAACGCCTTTCGCTTTTACAATGTAATTACACCTTAATTATTATGCTAGCACTTCACGTGGCTATTAGTATTTTCGTTTTCGAGATGTTATCAAATAATCTGACAAATAAAGTGTTGTAAAAACATTGGCTTAATTTATTTTGAAAAATAGCATCAATCCCGCCAAATTTCGATATTTGGCATTTGGCAGCAAATGGTAGTGTTGCTATCTCTTATTCTATTAAGTGGCATGATTGGCATTTTTTTTGCAGATTGAATACAATTACCTACGTAAACACGGAATAATAACCATGTGAAGCGCTACAATCAACTAGAAATAAACAACAACATTTCACAACAAGGAGACGTTCTTACTGCATCACAATTTTTGCTCGTCACCAAATAGGTACCTTACCTACTTATTAATGCGTCACTTATTCGTCATCGAAGGTGATAGCATACAAATTTAATACTGTAGGAACAATAAATAAATAGAAATTTAAAATAAACTTTTTTGGGAATGAGTCAGACGTGATTGCGTCACTAATCATATTCATAAAAATGAATAATATAAAAATAATAGTGACGTAATCATATAAGAGTCAGAGTCATAGGGTCTTCAAATCTGAGATGACTAGAACTCATTTTGAACAGTCAAAGCACAGGGTTATAAAACCTAAGTGACTTTTTAAAAATTGATTTCATGTAAGTATCTATCTTTAAAAAACCGAAATGCATTTATCGATTTGTCTCAAAATAAAATAATGGAGAAAATTACAATTAGCCATATACCAAGATTTTAGTAAAGCATTCGTGGATATGAAAATAATAGTAAATAATCAAACAAGTTGCATACGTTATAATCATAATAAATTATTTACTATTAACAATTTTGACACATTTACAATAAGTACTACGCGATTCAAATAAGAACAGGAAAGCAAATGACCTCCATCCGTCAAATGTCGCTTGAAAAGTACAGTTTGCAAAAAATCTCGGAACACTTTTTTAGCACTCACTCGGCTAATTCTAGGCTAAAAATCAAATATTAAACAAACAATAACAAATATTGATAATTAATATTGGTTGATATTTTTTTTCATTTATTAAGCTTTGGCTATGAATGGTTGATAACCTAAATCGTCAACCAAATGTCACTTTAATTCACTTAATGTTACGTTCAGAAACTCGATTTAAAACTTTCGTTTACATATTGGATACATGTTCGTATGTGACCTGCATGATTATTCGTAACTACTCCGCCGGTAATGCAGAGATGAGTGGAATTGAAGAGCTTGATCCTGATAAATGTTTTTTCTCACACAGTCTTAATAAAGAAATATTATTAAATATCTTTTGTTTTTTCTCTCAATCTTAGTAAATTAATTTTATTAAAAAATCTGATGCTTTTCCTCACTTAATCTTAGTAAATAAGTTTTATTAAATAGAAACTTTTTTTTGCTCACTCCACCTATTTGGTTTGAATTGACAGCTTTGACGTCAAAATATGGCGCCCAGTCGGTCCTATTCTTAGTTGAATCGCATTATATATAATTATAAGCTTAAGACAACTGACAAAAAAAATATTGACACTTTTGGTTTAGTGGCGAACCACACACAGCGTAGCGTAGCGTACTTATATAATACTAGCTGTGCTCCGCGGTGTTACCCGCGGTTTAATAGGGATATTTTAAAACGTAGCCTATGTTAGCCTGGATTAACAGGGTGTCAGCTAACTCCATACCAAATTTTACTAAAATCGCTCCAGCCGTTACGACGTGAAGGAACAAACATACACACTCACAAACTTTCGCTTTTATAATATTAGTGTGATAATATTAGCTGTTTGTAAATTTGACAACGGTATCCTCATCATGCTCAGAAAAAGGAACGAAAACAAATAGACTAGATACGCTGTGTGTGGTTTGATACTCAACCCACAGTGGTTTTTTTTATAAATAGGTAATTGGATTGCAAATTCGACTTTCGGGTGTCTCACTTTTTCTTTCCCTACTGCAAAGCACCATAAGCATGTACAAATATGTATTGTAGTGTATGCAAGTTTTGCAAATATCATATGAAAAAAACGTCCAATCAAAATGCTAATTTTGAGCAGCAACACAGTCGCGATTGGATGTTTATCACGCGACAAACGTCGCGTACGTTTGCCGCGCTATGATTGGCCACATCTTTAGAGTATATTTGCGGGGAGCTATAGTTATGCAAGAGATGGTGGAATCACGAAATCCTGAAATAAGTCTGATAGCCTGCACCTAACGCGGTGGTGAGGAACCAGGCGAAGTTACACCACCAGGTAGCGAACCCGAGGACGCCGCGATACACCTCCTCGGTGAATACCTGCCAAAAACATAGCAATTAAAATATGTATGTATCGTAATGAACTGTGGATGGAATAGGGTGATTGGGTCATCACCAATCACATGCTGGTACAGATTGGTGGGTGCTAAAGACTTCAATACCTACTTAACTAGATACTTAATATTATTTTAACAAGAAAATTATTCGATAATGTTAAGTATAGTGTCGTTTATTATTCTCCCGTGTTAACAACCATAATATACAGATAAGATTTTACGTGTCCGTGATGCTAGCGTACAATAATAGTTAAAGAGGATGTTAACTTCTAGGAACAAATGTATTGTAGTACAGTTGCACACAAAATTAATTTATGCACTAAGAGATGTGTGATTTTCTTACCTTATTTTTAATTTTCTGGTCTTTTATTTTTTTGTGTGACGGATAAACGTCACCGCATGTGTCTAAAATATTATGCCTGCGCAAGTACTGATCGTAGTACATTATACCTCAATGAGCGCAAGTGGAGTGGAGCGGGGAAAAAGGTATTGTATTTCAATTGACCAATCATAAATTCATATAAGAACTTCAATCTACCTACTAAGTCCCTTACTTGCCTACTATACTACGAAAATATTATCACTTCTGTACATGACTGCACTTCATATAAGAAAATAATTTAATTGCTTTTTTTATATTGTTTTACTGCGAATTCACATAAAATAATTTCGCTGTTAGTGGCACTATATGACACACTATTTATACATATAGCATTGATAACGAGAAAAGTTCATTTTCTATGAGAACTATTATGGGGACGCCAGGTTGACGCCAGCTAAGAATGTTTAGTTCAATATCTTTGGTCCTTTAAGAGTATTGATTATGGAATTTTGTAAAGCCAGGGCACTAATTGCGAACTATTGTTGTGTGTCAATTTCGTTGCTCAAATATATGCCGTTTTTGGGGACGGCCATAGGTACGCTAGCTTGACGTCATGCTAGCGTACACAGTAAAAATGGTCTTTATTTCTTAAATTAAAGAGGCACTGTTTTTTTTATTTCTACATTAATTTGGCACTATTTACGCAGTATTTAATGGCATAACGAAAAACCGTATATTGATCTTAGCATCACGGACACAGATCTTACTATTTTCAAGAACTCCCAAGCTATCTGGTACTGCTCTATGCCTTCCTCTGGGTCAAGGTCTTCTACTTACATCAGTGTCAGGTAGACTCAATGACAATATCATTTACTTCTCACCATACTAACAGACATAATTCTTACCATTTTTAAGTTCTCCCAAGCCAGTTGGTATTGCTCGATACCTTTTTCCAGGACTGGGGAAGTCGCTACGGTAGTAGCATTGTTCACTTCCTCCACTTCATAGAATAGAGAAGACCAGGTGTAACCAACCGCCCAGGGTCTCACACATCAGAGTCAGGTAGACCCAATGACAATATCATTTACTTCTCACCATACTAACAGACATAATTCTTACCATTTTTAAGTTCTCCCAAGCCAGTTGGTATTGCTCGATACCTTTTTCCAGGACTGGGGAAGTCGCTACGGTAGTAGCATTGTTCACTTCCTCCACTTCATAGAATAGAGAAGACCAGGTGTAACCGCCCAGGGTCTCACACATCAGAGTCAGGTAGACCCAATGACCATTTCATTTACTTCTCACCATATTAACAGACATAATTCTTACCATTTTTAAGTTCTCCCAAGCTAGTTGGTATTGCTCGATGCCTTCTTCCAGGACTGGGGAAGTCGCTACGGTAGTAGCATTGTTCACTTCCTCCACTTCATAGATTAGAGAAGACCAGGAGTAACCGCCCAGGGTCTTGTACATCAGAGTCAGGTAGACCCCCATGACCAGAGGACAGATGTACTGTAGTGCTACCACGCATAAGTAGTAGAATACTGAAGCAATCTAAGGGATTATTAGAATACGGTAACTTTCTCTGTCTGTATGTTTTATTACAAGATAAAAACGAGAAATATATATATTCGAATATAGGTGGATATTGGTGTCGATTCCGGCATGATTCTCTAAACGTAAAACTAAATTTAACACCAGTCTCTTCTTTTTATTCTGTATATAAAATGACAAAGACACACTGTTGTCAAATTTAAATTTTTAGAGAATCATGTCAGAATCGACACCTTTCATCGATTGGACTACGAAATATTAAAAATAGAAATATTAAAATGTAAGTATTTAAAAAATAAAGTAAACTCCTGATATATTGTTTCAAACTCATGGTCACTAAGATTATAGTCTTAAATGTTGTTTATGGGATTGTTACTATGTACTTATTTTGTTTTAAAATTTTAGTTTCGTAATTATCAGTTTGTTATCAGTACTATATCATTACAACATATCAAGACTTTCTCTGCTCTCTCTTTATCATAAGAGGTGTAAAAAACCCGTACAATTCATATATCTCATTGAACAGTGAAGCCGTAACTTCATTGCAGCTTACACTCACCTTCTTCTGCAAGTCCACATTAGTGATTCTTCCGGCCTCCTTCTGCAACGCCTGCACTCGTCTCTGCGCCATATCCAAATACGCCTGTAGCTGTCGCGGCAACAATACCGCGCGCACCACGCCCGCGCCAACCGTCAGCACTAGCCGGACAGTGTCGAACGCACGCGCCCTCATACTGCCCCACACAATAATGTTATTACTGCAGCTGCCTCAGTAACAATACCGCGCGCACCACGCCCGCGCCAACCGTCAGCACTAGCCGGACAGTGTCGAACGCACGCGCCCTCATACTGCCCCACACAATAATGTTATTACTGCAGCTGCCTCAGTAACAATACCGCGCGCACCACGCCCGCGCCAACCGTCAGCACTAGCCGGACAGTGTCGAACGCACGCGCCCTCATACTGCCCCACACAATAATGTTATTACTGCAGCTGCCTCAGTAACAATACCGCGCGCACCACGCCCGCGCCAACCGTCAGCACTAGCCGGACAGTGTCGAACGCACGCGCCCTCATACTGCCCGCCCCACACAATAATGTTATTACTGCAGCTGCCTGAGTAACAATACCGCGCGCACCACGCCCGCGCCAACTGTCAGCACTAGCCGGACAGTGTCGAACGCGCGCGCTTTCGTTAATATTACACATTTGACATACGATCCATTGGATCATTAAAGCGTAAGAGTTTTGTGAATAGAAGTTACGTGGCTGAAACTGAGTTATGGGCCAGGCTTCCCCATGGTCAATGTGTAGAGGGGTGATTAAGCAATGGTTAGAATGACGCCAAAGGGCACATGTTGCAACAGCACAAGTGGCTTGCTAAACATTTCTAATGCTAACAGAAGATTAAAAAAAGAAAAATATACTTATATATGTATCAGTACAAATATGTATTCTATCCGTTAGCCTAGCATTACATAACACAAGCCTTACTTTTTTACTTTAGCGGCTAGGATAATTGTTGTTTGTTATTACAACTATTTATTTATTTAAAAATCTTACTCACAGTGGTCCTTCCATGCCACTGAATACTCGTACAGTCAGGTAGTGCCGCGTGATTGGCCGCACCCACAGCAACGTCAGCACAAATGGCATCGCAAAGTTTATGTTCAGTAATAGAGTCTTCACCTTACTGTCGTCGTAATACCTATAAATATATGCACAGTGTAGTGTTTACGGTTTATTAGAGTTCCATGCCCAAAGGGTCTGTCTGTTCCCAGGCTGTATCTCATAAACCATAATTGCTAGAGTTGAAATTTTCACAGATGTATTTCTGTTGCCGCCACTGACGTGACTTTTTGCCGATTTTAGCTACGTATTATAATATAGTGTCTATTGATGTAGAGACAATGGCACGGAAGCCAGCGTGCGCGAATTCGACTCGCATTGGCCGGTTTTTGATATATGTATATACTTTCTCTCTGTATATTATGTTACCATGGATCATAAACGTGACTATATACTTGCAGTGAAATAAACTGAATTGTCCGACTCGAAGGACCATGTTTATGATCCTAGGGAAAGATATATGTATCAGTTGGATTGTAAAAACTATATTTTTCGGAATTGGAAATAACATATTATTTCCATAGTTACATAATGAAAAGAGAATAGGTATTCTCTAATAGGTATTTAAATATCTCTAATATAATAACACAGCTTAACACTTTTTAATAATTAGTGACTGTCTGCAAGTTAATAATATCATTTTATGACTATATATCAATATAATCATCTGTCAAGAAAATAAAAAAAAAAGTAAGCTTCTGAGCAAATTGTATTTATTATTCCTTGGAACAGTCATCACGCACTAAAGGAAATACTAATATTGAGTTTTAGCTAACCTTAATGAGTCCCAGTGCATCCGAGCAACTCTAAAGCCTGGGAAAGTGAACAGTGTTCCAATCAGAGCAGCCCACACAGCTAATGACAATTTGAGAATCAATTTAGATGCTGGACCCCTGCAATTAACAAGATGAATTATTAATTTATGAGTAAAATAAAAATGTCATTATCAAGATGAATTAAATTTCTGTGTATAATAAAAACTTTATTAATTATTTTCACTGCAATTCAAGTTGAATATCACAGATTTGGGTGGCACACTCACCAGGGGGCCTACCGTCTATCGATATTGCTATGGCTATAGCTATAGCTCATATAATAATTTTCACAAACGAATTTTCAAATACCTCACGCTCATTTTCTTTAATATTGTTATTATGTAATTATTAGAAAGAGCACGAAGCATTTGAAAAACTTCAATGATCAGAAATAACAAAATAAAATCATAAGCTATAACTATAGCCATAGCAATCAAGATACGCGGTAGGACCCAATTCGATGCCAGCTCGTTTCGTTTTCGTTTCTGTACTGAGTCTGTAAAGATTATTTACTGAGTGGATGTTATCAAATGAGAGCTACCTTACTGAGTAGTTTCAGTAAATTCTTTTTGCAGAGTTATACACAGCCCTGTAAAGAATGCAATTGAGGGCTACCGAACCATTTGATCCGCCCATCCGATAACTACAGCAAACAAAACCCTAGTAAACAAAACCAAAATTGTACCGCACCAAAATCGAGCCATTCAAGAAGCAGTTTTCTGTAAAGAATCTCTACAGCTTCAGTCCAGAAACGAAAAGAGCCCGTACCAACCTTGTGAGGAAGGCACCTTAGATTGTAGCTAAGCAATGCAATCCCGTTCCAAGCAATGTTTTAAACGAAAAATTACAAATTGATATCAAACTTACACAGAAGACAATCCTTGATTTTCCAAGAACTTGGAAGCATTCTCATAAAAACTATCATAAGCAGGATCTACTCCAACTTCCAGGTTAGATTCATCAATAATGAGTACCATCATAGCAATGAGCAAAAAGACACAGAATGCTACTATGCAGGTAGATCTTTCACCTATTGACTCTTCACTGGTAAAGTACTGCTTAGTTAAAGACAGAAGAATTTTACTGCCTTGAAGTTAAGGTTCATTTTGGGAAAAACATATTTAATAATTAAAAGTACAATTTGGACCACACTCTGATACTGTCAATTAATAAGTTTAACCTTTTATGCTACAATATGGCAATATGTTATGCATTAATTTGATTGATGTGCCCATGTGCGGGCATAGCAATTTATAAATTAGACAGGTTTTTTTATTTTTTAGTCATTTGCGATGTAGTATTCTTACAATTATTATCTCATATTTTTTTATAATTATTATAGGCACCATATTGTGTTTTGACTGCTATAATAAATAAAACAACAATTTCTCACTCTTAACATTCCTCACTACATTTTAAGTACCTTACAAGACTCCAGTTTTGCCATCATCATCATCATCATCAACAGCCTAGGTGGCTGGCAGGAGCTGGATGCAAGTAGCCCAACATCGATCTGAGTGGCGTGCAATTGGAGAGGCCCATGTCCAGCAATGGACTAGGATAGGCTGTGATGAATTTTGCCAACTAGGATTTAATTCTTTATTTTCATAGTTTTTAAATAAACTAAATAACCTTTGTAATCCATAAAACCTATTACCTCCATTATAAAGGATACAAAGAAAACAAAACCACCAGTAGGCACCACACCATGCTCAAATTGAATTCATCCTTTAAAGGAAATATTGCTGTGTAAATCTGTAACAATACTTTAATTAAGTACTACAAATAATAATTAATAAAAGAAAGCTGTATCATAACAAAGAACTGTACTTTTAAGATTTTTAAAGAGAATGTAAGTATTTAAACAGTATGCCTTCTTATACCATTATCTTAGTTTTAAATAAAATACATTGGTAGCAATCAGTGACAGAAAGAACACATTACAAGAACAACTGTGATACTAGAACAGTTTTTACAACAAATACTGCCTAAGTTCTTACCTCGGACAGGATATAAACAATAGCTGTATACAAAGAAAAGTCCACAATCCACACATATTCTGTATAGAATCTCAAATGTACTACATCTAAGGGGGTCACTGGTGCAGTTTCCAGTTGTATTTCGAGACTGCGAGGTACATGAAATGTCTCTGGTTTTCCATTTGCTTCAGTTTTGCCACCTTTCTTTCCTTTCGTTTTATCTTTAGGAACTCCTGCTAACGTTTTTAACTCATTGTTATCCGGATACAGGTACCGATACAAGCCCTGTGAGCATAGCAACCAACGAGCAAAAGAATAATTGCCCAATTTTTGTATCACTGACACCATTATCAGTGTAATAACAAGTTGGGCACCAAGAAGCGCCTGAAATTAAAATGAGTAACAGATGATTTGGCATTGAATTAACTGAAGATATCTTGTTAATTTTAGGTGCGTACCATTGCAAACTTTCTTTATTAATAGTTCATAGTCTGTCTAAATATAAATTCTCTCATTTTTAACCGGAATTCATAACCTCAAAATTTGATTTGACAGTTATAGTTTTTTTATGGTTAACTCTTTTCAGGGAAGGCAAGGGGAACAATGCCCATACACCCAAGTCCTTAGTTTTATCAATCTTCGTTTTTTTTACTTTAGAATGTCTGTGTGACTCATTCCAATGTTTTTTGGAGTCTTTGGCACGAAATGTATTGAGTTGGCTTTTCCGGTAAGCTTCTGTGAGGTAGTCAACACTATAAAATTCTAACGTCCACTTGACCGAAATAGCGTATATTTTAAAGATTCCACTAATTCTTCATTTGGTCAGACGGTTGTAACACAAAACCACACCAAGTTTATTTCACAATATCCACTATGAACGAATTTAAGAATAATTAAAATAAGACGCCAACCGCACTCGATGAAATCCCACCCAAAACTCAATTATAGTGTTTTAAATTCTTTCTTCGTAAGAAGCTAAAGGCAAGATACATATAACTTTCAAGCCAAGCCAAGGGCGTGACGTACGGTTTTCGCATCTATGGTAATGTTGAGTACAAAAAATCTCTTGCAATCTTTTATTAAAGTAGCTAAGAAGATACCATTCTAGAGTTCTATTAAATTCTAAGACCAAATACATACTGTCTTTATAAATCTTCTTTCAACCAAAGGAGAACAACTTTTCTGGTATAGATCGCGCCAATCTTCTAGTCCGCTCTGAACACTGCAAAATTCGTGTCGTAGTAACAAAAGACAGGTATTTGAAGGGACGAAGGTTGTGTTTAAGACTGTACACCTGTGCGTAGCAACTTCAAAGCGGACTAGAAGTTTGGCGCGATCTATACTGATCTTGTACAAACATAATTGTTAGATATTATGATAAGCATTAATAAATAATCTAAGATAAGAGTATTTTTTGCTAGTGGTGAAACACAAAATAGTATAAAAACTTTAACGTATATAACAACGTAGCGTTTAGCGTATAAAGGAATGTAGTTTGCTAATATGTAAGAAACCATCGATTCAACTAATTCTGAGTTGAATTTCTTATAGAAGAACTGTTTAAATTGCTCAAATAAACTAATGTCTTTAATAAATTGTAAGAAAAATCACGAATGAATTGGATTTTTTATGACTGTAAATCTCAGAAACAATATTATATTATTAATAAAATATGACAACGATTACCTATCCGATTTGTTTAATCGTGACGTAACTAACGTCGCATTCCATCTTGTTTTATGGGCTCTGTTACTAACAATGGCGTGACTACCTGCGTTCATCTTAATCTCTCTTATTCCACTTTCCCCTTTCCTTCAGACCACGCGCGCTGGCCTACGTCCTTCCTTCCTTCTTACAACCCGGGGTCTTTTAAAAGAGGCGTGAAGAAGCAACATGCAGGCCGGCAAGGTGAGGATGGCTAGTGTGGCAGGTAGAACTCTTGTATCAGCTATCTTCACGTCTGGACTTCACCGTCACTTAACATCAGGTGGGGTGGAGTCATTTGTCGGATCTTTCCGTAAAAAAAAAATCCGGTAAAAAATAACTTAAAAAATGCAAATAGCTCAATAAGGGAAAAAGGATAGTAAGTCTAGCAACATTATTTTCCGCTGTCAACTGTCAATGTCAACTACGCGATACGATCGATTCTTTTGTCAGACGTGGTGAGGTAACGAAAACCAGAAAAAGGATCGCCCATTTTATTTATTGATTGACTGGTTTCAGTCATTTATTCGGTTTCGTTGCCGCTAAAGTCTGGTCACAGACTCCGGCGCGGGTCTGTTCATTTAGTTAGTAGGTAGTTTGATTTTCATTTGTGGTGCTGTGAGAAAACGTGCAAAATGGGGTCGTTGTTTAGAAGTGAGGAAATGACATTATGCCAGCTTTTCCTACAAAGTGAAGCGGCTTATGCTTGCGTGTCCGAACTAGGAGAATTGGGACTTGTTCAGTTTCGCGATGTAAGTATTCGCTAATGTGTGTTTTGCATTCTGTTAGTCATGAAACTAGAACAGTTACTCTGCTACATTTCCAAACTCATAATGTATTAAAATACTGTAATCTTGGACAATCTATTGATCCCGGTTACTTCAGCATACATGACATTAGTTTACCAAAAGACTTATAGTTGTGCAAAATTGTATAAACTTTTATTGCTACATATTTGTCTATAATAATTATTACTACAGATGTTTATGGGGCAGATAAATCATACATCATAAATATTTTTTTTAGTGCAAAATGCAAATAAGCAGTTGTATTATTATTGATAAGTTGATTAACTAAAGTTCCATTTTTTCTGTGAGGCTGCTCTCAAGCTCTGTAAAGGGCCTAAAGTGTTTGTTGATTCCTGAGGTGAAAGTAGGTACTTATTTAAAGACTTACAAAGTTTTCTAATATTGCATTTCCTATTTTCTAACTCTACATTAAGAGCCCCACTCTTAATGTAGAGTTCATATCAGCCTAAGTTTTAAGTCAAATGATTTACCTTAGTATATTATATGAATTTTGATTATTTACTGGGTTTGCTACCATGTTACTTATTTTTTTGAGTCTGATTTTTACTACTACTGCTATAATCACTCAGACACTAAGTTATAGATCATGAAAGTTGAAAACTGTATGTTTGATATTTTAAAATAATAATAACAAGATTTTACTGCACCCATTAACTAGCATTAAGTTTATTAAAAGAAAATATAATTATTATGACCACCATATCTAGAAGTTGTTTCATTTGAAATTATGTTTACCCATACTTTATATTAATAAACACTTGTATACTAAAACAGTTGAATGTGTTGCTGTAGTTTAATTAATTGAAAAAGATTTAGATAAACATTTACTAGAAAAGATATTGATAACTTTTCTTTAGATTTAAACATTTAGCAGTTAATGCTTAAAAAATAAAAACATCAGATTTAGGTTTTTTTTATTAATTAACATAATTTATGTGTGGGAATGTTATTACAACTATTTGTAGTGTTCAATGTTGTAGTTCATCAAAATTCATTGAGAAACCCATAAATAGTCTTATGACTTGAATAATTGCAGTTATATAATGAAGTACCTATTCAGTCATGTGATGGGATTAACTTTTAGGTAGGGCTCATACCAACAATTGATAATTTTCTAATCAGTTTTACATTTGGCATTAAGATAGCATTAAAATTGAAAAACCTATACTAATCTTACAATTTAATACTTATCTATGTACTTTATCAGTATCAAATGTTTTATGTTATTAAAGATTTTTTGGGTATTAGGATTTTTTCCCTTTAAAACTAATTTAATCAATTTAGAACTCCTTAATTTTATCACATAAATGATTTTGCCAATAACTAGATGTGTCCTTGTAAGGACTGGCGATTATCACACGGCACCGCGCACCGCCGCGGCAGGCGGTGAAGCGGATCTCATGTCGCATAAGCCTCTACTAAATCCGTTGATACTAAACACATGTTCACCGCCCGACCGCGCGGTCGAGCGGTGCTCTCGCCGCCACCGCCTCTCCGCGCGGACGGCAGCGCGGAGGGGCGGCACCTCACACACGTGGCACCGCATAACCGCGCGGAACATCGTGGAAGCAAGACGTGTCGCAATTTAAAAATGGATTTCGATGTCGAAAAGTTTATTTCAGAGATTCAAAGTCGCTCTGCTATCTGGGACATGAAAAGCACACAATATAGTGATAGACTCCTAAAACTGAAACAATGGGAAGAAATTGTTACCTTATATTTGGAGCCAGGACAAACTTCTGACAAAGAAAAGAAAGAACTCGGTAAGTTTTAAAAAAATATTTATTTTAAATTTAAGCATATTGACTTTGCCATGGTAGCGGGTTCTCATTTACAAAATAATCAGCTAAATTATTACGGATCGCTGCAGCACTTGTGCTTCCTCTGCAATTATTGTCTATCGGTATATTAACTATTCCCTCCGTCTCATTGTTTGTATATAAAATATCCTTAAAATCAACGCCATGTCTTTCCCTAACAAAATTATGAAGTATACAACATGCTTTAATAATTTTTATAGATAAAATTCTGTTTACGTTCAAAGGGCGTTGAAATATACGCCATTTATGTGTTAAAATACCGAATGCACACTCAATATATCTACGTGCCCTGCTCAAGCGATAATTAAAAACTCTTTTAGTGTAATTTAAGTGATGTCCTGCATAGGGTCGTAGAACATTGTTTGAGATATTGAAAGCTTCATCTCCGATAAAAAAATATGGTACGGAATTGGTGATACCAGTAATTGCAGAGGAGTTTGGTATATTAAGAGTTCCATCTTGAAGTTTTTGGTAAAAAATGGAATCACGAAAAACTGTAGAATCACTGCATTTCCCATAAGCACCTATGTCAACGTATATAAATTTGTAATTAGAATCACAAATAGCCAGCAGTAAGATGGAAAAATAATGCTTATAATTGTAGTACAGCGATCCAGTTAGAGATGGTTTGATAACACGCACATGTTTACCGTCTAAGGTACCTAAAACATGAGGAAAATTGGCTCTTGACTTAAATCCTTCAGCTACATTTAACCACATTTCAGTTGTAGGTTCGGGAAAACACTCCATTTTCATTACATCCCATAATGCATCACACACTTTTTCTACAATATTTCGTATGGTTGATATACCAAGTCGATAACTGTAATGCAGATCGGTAAAGGAACACCCCGTGGCCAGGTATCTGAAACAATATATTTTTTTATTACAGGGCGCTCGCTACAAATAAAGTGGAAAAACCTTCGAGACGCCTTCATGAAGGAGTGTCGAAGACAAAAAAATATAAAGAGCGGAGCAGGAGCTAAGAAAAATAATCAGTATAGATTTTATAATCAATTGTTATTTTTAAAACCTTACGCTGGAAAAAATAAAACTCAGAACAGTTTGTCTGCAGGAGACGATGAATCAGTCGGGGAAGGTAATGAATCAGTTGGAGGACCATATGAAGACAGAGCCTTAGGTACTAAAAGAAAGAAATCTGATCCTGCTGAAGAAATGACGCGAGAGTTAATCGATACCCTGAAAACTTCAATAAACAAAAAAGAAAACGAAGAAGATCCTGACCGACAGTTTATGCTCTCTTTGGTGCCTGATTTCAAGAAAGTACCCGATCGATTAAAATCTGTCGTGAAAATAAATATAATTAGATACATATCACAAGCTCAGGATGAAATGTACAATTATAAAGAGTCAGGCGACGCTACAATGTCCTATACTAATAATCAAAATCAGGGTTATTGTACGAATACTTCATCATATGCGCACCAGCAAAACGAGCAAGGGACCTCTGCTGCCGGAATTGCAGATAATATTATAGAAGCAATACCAGCAACACCCACCACAGTTAATTCAAACATTACTGATGAATCGGAGATTTTATCACTGTTTTAAAACCATAGTGTGCTCATTGCACGGAAGATAGAAAGCTGTGATTATGTTAATTAGTTTAAGGTAGATACATAAATATGTACGTGATTGATCCTGTGATAAAGAAAAAATTACTGTGATTTGATTACTAAATAAGAAATTATGCTCATTGTGCGGAAGATAGAAAGCTGTGATTATTTTAATTAGTTTAAGGTAGACACATAAATACGTGGTTGATCCTGTGATAAAGAAAAAATAACTGTGATTTGATTACTAAATAAGAAATTAAAATTACTAATTATAATTAGATGTAGGTACAAAAATCTAAAAAATCTTCAAAAAAGACTGAGGTAGATTTAATAACAAGAATAATTGACAGACTGATTATTTAAAGTAATAAAAATATAAAATGGAAAAATGTGTATTTTCTTCTTCACTTACCTCAAGGTCACAAGAAGCTTTTCTTCCGGCGAAATACAAGGACGCATGTTTGTATTTACTCCAGAAATTGCTTTCCTTATTTTTGCTAACAAATAATCAAATGAAGAAGTGGACATTCGCGTATAATTAAAAAATTTATCTTCGTATTTTCTCAAACTTTTATAGAATAACATGAATGACCCATTTAGAGTTCTGCTTCGTAAAAATGGATGAACCCAGTATCTTCTTATTTTTTTCTTTCTGCGCCATAAAAGCCAGATTGCTGCCACCACTTCAGCGTCCATTCTTGCCAGCGTCTGCAATCAAACTGGTCAAAACCGCGTTAAATCCATCCGCGCGTACAGGCGCGTAAACCGCCTTACCGCGCGGTGCACCGCTGCGAAATCCGCGTTACCGCCACCGCCCTCCGCGGCGGTGCGCGGTGCCGTGTGATAATCGCCTAATGCAATACTCTAATGAATAATTAAGAAATTGTGGTCTTCTGAAACATAGAAAATGCAAATTAACTTGCTAAAACATAAGATATTGAGTAGGTATATTATATATATCATATTTATAAGTTTAATTAAAGTACAGTATTGAAGTTGCAATATTTATTACATGATAAAATCTATAAATATAAAAGGCCTCTTGTCTGTTGATAAGTGTTTTAGGATTTTACCAAACTGTTATCAAAATTACAAAAATAACTAATTAATGAAAAAAATAATTTGCATTAATCTGTTACCAGAAAATAGCTGTGAAAGCTCACAATTCAAAAATAAAATTTAATTTTCACCAATTTATTACCAAAAAATAATAAAGAAAGTTTAAAATTGCACTCTCAAATGGACCAGGATTAAGTATAAAACAGGAGCTGCAGCATTGCTCTGGTGCTCACGTGGCACCAATGCATCTGCAAAACTAGCTTTTCACTAAAGTGGTAGATTACCAAGTGTGGCAGAGCTAACTGTCAGTGGTAGCATAGAACCACCCTCCCAACTCTACTGCAAAGTAGGCCAGGTTCTCCAAAATCTTAATTCGTGTTACAATGACATAGACTCTATGTCAGAGAGGACCTTTTCAGTCTTTTCTGAGGGGGTGCTAAATAGGAGATGTCCTATGATACATTTTTGTACCACTGTCTGCTGCCATGCTACCTTAGACATCTAATGGTTGGGATGTCTAAGGCAGTCAGCACAGGATTCAATTGAGTAATCAACCCTGATAACATTGCCTGTCAGTTACCTATACATAATTATGTCGCCAAAGGTGGCTACATAATTATTATATGCACTTCATGACGTTACCGTAACATGCCGTTTATTATGTTTGACATTGTGTTTTACTTAAAGTGTATTAGAAATCAGAAATCAATATATCTTTATTCAAATTGGATGTATAGTAAAACTCTTTTGAATCATACAAACATTTTTTTTCCCTAGCACTCGTTATCGGTCATATTTTATAGCTGCAGAGAAAAACAAGCGAAAATAACTCCACAACATTAAAAGTATAATGTAACAACATTTACAAATCATTATATTGTTACAACGTCAATACAATCATGATTTACTTAAAAATAGAAAACCTGTTGGAATGATTTGTGAAACAATTATTAATAAAGTGATCTATAAAGTTGATAACATTGTATTGCACAATCTTTAGTAAATCTAATTTGTCTTTTGCGTGTTTCACGTTACACAAAAGTAAGTATATCCAAAAGTAGCCAAGATTGCTTATTCTGTAAGAGATTCAATAGACAGAAGTATTAGGAACTGCCATAGACACAAACAATATGCCGTTTGTATATGTAAAGAAATATTGCATAGAATAGTCTTAGACATCTCAGGGACCTACGTAAGATGTTTGTATGTTAACATTGTCTTATAGTTAATTTTGTATCCATCAGCTTAATCCGGACGTAAACGCGTTCCAACGCAAGTTCGTCAATGAGGTCCGCCGATGCGACGAGATGGAGCGCAAGCTCCGTTACCTGGAGAAGGAGATCCGAAGGGACGGCATCCCCATGCTGGAGATACCGGGAGAGTGCCCGGAGGCGCCTCAACCCCGCGAGATGATCGACCTCGAGGTGAGAACTGAGTCTCTTGAACACCTACATCCACAACAATTACATTTCTATGCCAATCAACGAATTAGAAATAATATGTAATACAATCTGCGCTAAAAAGTGGTCCCAGGCAAACTGCAATAAATTGGGCGGAGCGAAAACTGCGATTAACATGTCAATAATAGGATTGGTTGGGATTTCAGTTTAAAATCATCTTACCCAATGAATGGATAGCTGAAGTCATTTGTTTTGTCTTGTGCGTGTCGCCTTAGTATTGAAGTTTAGCTGTTTGAGTTTGGAACCATGTTTTAGCAGCCTTAATTAGAGAGGAATGCTTCCATATCATTTCTAATTAATTGATGTCAATGAACAAAGGCGTCTCCAGCCCATGAAGCAATCGTTTGCAATCATTACTCTAGCGCCCTCTTGTAAGCTCGCGGTTAATTAAAACGGTGAAGAGTAGCAATCGGCCGATCGGCTCCGAGACTGCTGCGTCCGTATGCAACGCACACCCTGCACCATATGTAAAGCTGCCTCTGCTAATTATTCTACCTTTTGAGCTTCCTGATGAGAATTGTTTTCGTCCCGGGTAGTGATGACGCTGCCTTTGCTGAATTTACAGCCAGTCGCCAGTAATGTTTGAAATAGCTAAAAAGGCCTAGGACAGCCATGGCCGAGGCGGTGTGCCGTGCTTAGTAAAATCCGGATCGTTAACCAATATCCATTGTCCCACCTTGATTGAACAAGCTTATCCATTGAAGTCCGACGGATGCTATGCAATTAGCACAAAAGTTAGACGTCCTTTCTATGTTAAAATCCCTTGCTGAAGTAAATTACCTTGGACTAATATAAGTGTTCCCTTAATGAAAAGAGCTATTTAGCTACTACTAATATCTAACAACACTACAGTCTATAGTCCAGGAAATGAAGCTAAAAAAATGGTAAAACCTCGCAATTTTTTCGTCCAGCACTGATTTGTACAAACATTTGGGATTAGGCTTATTTCACCTTCTTGTTCATTTTCTATATTGTGCTGTTGTACGCTTTTGGTTTTTAACGGGTGAAAACTACCCCTTATTATCAAAAATTATAAAATAAAATTAAAAACCTAAATATGGGTAAAAATAGTTTAAAAATGATTGTTTCATGCTTTAGGATACAATTTCATAATCTTTCAACCTACCCTTATTAAAAACTACACTTAAAAACATTAAAATATTTTTTTTGAAAAAAAAAAATAGTTCGGTTTTTTAAGCATAGCTCCTTCATTTTAGGTGATAGAATTTTTTTTTCAGAAACGATTTTGTAGAGCTTTTCAGGAACTATAACACTATGTGAATTAAATTACTTAAGATCCCTTAATTTTTAAATGGGGAGAGTTTAAAGCGCTTCAAATGTAGGTGTTAAACGGCTATATTTCGCCGAATATTCACTGTACAAAAAATATGCACACAGGGAAATTTTTGTCATTAAAAAAGCTACAATTTAGAACGATATCGTTTTTGTCGTATCTTTAGTATTTTGGGAGATATTTTTAAGAAAATGGTAAATTAAAAAAAAAACGGCTTTCTCTTTAAGCTCCAATTTTTCTAAAATTTGGCATTTTAAATTGGTCATACTTCGTGGATGTATTAATAGTACATATATAAAGAGAATTACAGAAGGGTTAATTTAGGGCTTTGAATAACTTAAAAAATATTAGTTTTACAAAAAAACGTAATAACATTTTTTTTCTTAGAATTACTTTTTCCGTCGATTCCACCCCCGAGATGGGGTGGTAACCACGCCCAAGGCTCTGGCGTACAGCGGCATGATATAGAAAATGATCCTTGAGCTGTACCCTACCTTTTGTGAAAATTTCAAGTAAATCCATGGTGGACGAAAAAATTGCGAGCCAAAATGCTTCATTTCCTGGACTACTAATAGAAGTATGATATTTAAATTACTTTTTAAATATTATTTTTAATACATTTCAAGTTGTCCAATTACTTGCTAAGTTGTCATGCATGCAAAATGAAGTAGATGGTCATTGACCTCTGTGTGCGATTTTAATTTATCAACTTTTGTGATATTTCAAAATATGCTCAAGGATATTCCGAAAAAAATAAATATAATTTTTAATAATATATATAGGCGAAAGTTTGTAAGTGTGTGAGTGTGTATGTTTCTTACTTTTTCACGTCCAAACGGCTGGAGCGATTTTAATAAAATTTGGTATGAAATTAGCTGACACCCTGGATTAACACAGGCTACGTTTTACTGCGGGAAAATATTCCTAACAAACCGCGGGTAACACCGCGGGGCACAGCTAGTATTATTCTAATTAAATTTGACTTTCACAATGAATGATCAAAATCATTGTTTGTTACTACTACTTTTGGGAGATTCAAACATTTGCAGCGACCTTGCCTTGGTTAACAGTGATTACTGATTCGTCATGTTATTTTGCCATCAATAAAAACAAGTCTTATTATCACACAGATTCATATATCATTTAAACTAGAATTCTCTGGAATAGATAATCAAGACTACATAGTTGCATTAAAATTTAAATTGTCAGTGCCTTTATGAAATCTCAATGCTTTTGCATAGACCATAGCATAGATAGAAAGATCTCTTGTCTTGTCCAAAATAAATAAAATACATCGGTGTTTCGCCTTAGGCCACATTCGAGAAACTGGAAAATGAACTGCGTGAAGTTAATCAGAATGCCGAGGCCCTTAAGAGGAACTACCTTGAGCTGACTGAGCTCAAACACATCCTTAGAAAAACCCAAGTGTTTTTCGACGAGGTATGTACAAATTTTGTTTTATCTCACCATCGTCACGCAATCATTCCACAAAATTCAAAATGTTCTATTGAAATTAATAAAAGGGCAAATGTTCCCAATAATGGCCAGCGCAGACGAGCGGCGGACAAAAGTCCCTGAATCATGAAAAAATGTCTTATTACTGAATCAATGCACACGGTCTGCAAACATTTTGTTGAACGGATATTTATACAAGCGCACGCTATGGAAGGTATTATTCTCAGATTACGTTGTGTTGTACTTAATTAACTTGAAGTTTAAGAAAAAGAGATGACGTTTTCAAAGAGAATACTGGGTCCATCTCTTTAAATCCCGACCGAGCCAAATCGAGCGCTCAACGCGGACAGGAGTTCGCTGTGTGCGTTGGCACATCCCCGTCTAGTTTTCTCCAGTCCGATGACCGGTCTCTCGGTGACCTCGGTTGTTGGGGGACTTTTTGTACGAGGTACTTTAAAGCCCTCGCGTGCATTACGTTACTCGATGCAGTTATAAGAGATTTATTTTGGCGGACAAATTCCCTCGTCTGCGCAGGCCATAAGAGTGCACGAACTTCTGAGAGATTTTCTGAAATCAATGACGTCAGTATAATATAAATAAATAAATTACAGTATGTTTCCAGAGGCTAATGATAATCTCTCTTCTATCGTGTACATCGTAAAACTCATCACAGCCTATCCTTTTATTTTAATTGATGAAATCCCTCGCGTATATTGTTTGATAAGATAAGCCACTGACGCCGGTGGCTCTCGTGATGTGGATTTAAAACCAGCAAGTGTGTAACTGGTGTCACCTTGAATGTTTGATGAACTACGTCGGTTGTCATAATAATCGTCTTCTCTATTATCTTTATCATGACTGTAATGTATGAGTTTTGTAATTCAAGTAATTTTCGAGGCTGTGCTGCTGTAATAAGTTTGCTTTGAGCCGAGTTACCACCTTGGTAGCTTGTAACAACACTGGGGACGTAATTTGTTTTATTTGTTCAATTTGATTACTATTATTTGGCTCTCTGGCGGACGGAGTGAAATTTTATTATTATAGTAAAGCTATTGTAATGTCGAGGCTGTTGTAGAAAAAAAATAGCTCCAAGATCTATTGTCAGATTATGTTTAATACCATCGTCGTTTCTTTAACGCCTTATTTTTGTCAGTGTTTCATACATTAAACGTTTTATTTTATTTATTATTTTGCCTACGAATATTATTATTTTTATTGGAAGCACTCTCTGATTAATGAAAAACAGTCATTAAATACTAATAATGTGTTATTGTTGCCAAATATTATATTAACTAACTAGAAATATCAAAATCTTTTTAATAAAGGTCGTGGTTTCCATTTCATTTTCTTACTGTCTACAAGCAATGACAAGAAACGTGGGCTTCAAAAAATATTTCAATAATTATAATTACGTTGTATGTAATATTGTTTATTTATCATAAAGTCTTGTCTTGTCCCATTGGCAATGTCACGTTTAGTTAACATATCAATGGTCTTGAAAAGTGGAATAAAAAATATAATTGAAAATAAGAAGGTATCTGGCGGCTGTTTTCACGCTATCAATCAAATTTTTCACGGCCAACTGGAATGTGACATTGACATTGGACGCGTCACTGACCTTGACGCCATGTTGGCGTGTGTGTGCACAAGATGGCGGACCCGTCGCGCGAGGAGGAACAAGTGACCCTTCTGGGGGAGGAGGGGCTCATGGCGGGCGGGCAAGCGCTCAAGCTAGGGTATGCTCAAACTGATTATGTCGGCTCTCTGACCACTTTGACTTCTACGCTTCCCAAATTTTAATATGGGGGTTTTCCGCCAGGGAATCTTTAGCCGTACACAGCGTGGAAGTTAAAGCATGTCCTAGAGTTATAATTATTTTTACAGCGCTTGTACTGTGACGCTGATACGGGAGTCTACCGATCACCACTCAGGCAAGCATTGGAGTCGGCCGGTTTATAGTATATCATCAACATAACACCTCTCTTTGACTTCTTGTGTGATGGAATGACAGCTTAGCGTAGTACCGCAAGGCACTCCCTCAAATGAGATAATGTCGAGCTTCGAGATTTTGATTTGATCCCCACATGGAGCGTGCTAACCAATTGCTGCCTGAGTGAGTTTTAAACTAACAGTGTTATCCCAGACATGATTTATTTTTGAAGTCCATTGATGGTAGTGAAAGGGTACTCCAGGTCCGAACGATGAGTGATAGATTTTTATCAGTATTTATTTTTATTATCATTCCGTCATGCTTTCTGTACCTGTATTCTGTTGTCATATGCATGCCATTGATTTTATGTTTATGTTGTTTAATGTAAGTACTTAGTATCACAATTATATCAACTTCGAGCGAGTGTCGAGTCTCGTTCATTATGTACTCTTAGTTTCACTGCAAAGATAGTACCTACACAATGTTAAATTTGAAGTAGATATCAACTAACAATACAAATATTGCTTTGTTTTTAGAAGTAGCTAGGTTACACTGGCACCGAATCTCGGAAGTTTACATTTCAGTGACGCGTTGGCGCTACTTTTTTACTACAACAGGCATTGGGAATATATTGTTTCGTGACGTGAGCGTGTGGACGTTGGGCCGGGGTTGCTTGCGTGTGCCGTCCTGGGCATTTGTACATGTTTATGTTTGTCCAATAGCACGAGGGTGGTGCCAATACCACTGAGTCGATGACGCGCGCCCTGATATCCGACGACCCGAACAAACATATGGGACACGTCCAACTAGGGTATGTATTCGTGTGTACATACTGCACTAGTGTGACACCGGCCCCACAATGCTAATTCCCCATAATCAGATGAACAATAGCTGAGAATGAAAATTATCACTGTTTAGAAAACAGCTACTGTTTAATCGGACCTTCCGTTAGCGTCGGTGACACTTCCGTTTGGTTTCATGTTAAGTAACAACCGGTTTGGTTTAAAACAAGTACACCCGTGTTTTTATGACGCGAGCCGAGACGCAAGTGTGATCGTTGCTGATGCTCATACAGGTGCGACAGACGATGATATATTCGACAATGACATTGTGAATTTCGTAAGACTGTTTACGTTAATCTGTGCACTAGTGAATACGTAGTACATTCAACTCAATCTGTATGAACATCTGTATTCAATAGTAATTCTGCGCCACACAAAATCCGAGTTAAACGTAAACATTAAAGAAATAAAGTTATTTATTGTAGCGCAGATCTCTTTAAGACATGATAAAGGAAAACTCACATTTGAATAATTCCTTGCATGCTTCAATTTGAATGACAATGACATTAATGTAAATATTTCCATAACTTGTTAAAGACATTTTGAATAGAAAGATCCTGTCTCATTTGAAAAGTACAGAAATAAAATACTATTACTTATTATATTGTAGCTTGAAACTTATTGATATTTAATTGGACTTTGCTTAATCGCTGTATTTATTCCTTAGTTTACGGGATAAGCAAGAATCCTTGGAATTCCTGCCTTGGTTAGTAGCGTATAATGCATTATTAATGTAATTGGGTCGCTAGATGTAGCTGGTGCTGGTACTGGTGTGTTCGTTTTGTGTGTGTCTGGAGAAAGTATGAATATCAGATAAAATTTAAGAAAGTTCAACTTTCTTCAATTTTATCTCCGGGTAGAGAATATATCTTTCAATATAACACTCACTTGCTTACTAACACTTCCCATATTCTTGACACAAATAATGTTAATCTATTAAACCGATGTGCGAGGTAACTTGGACTTCAAGAATAGATAATGGTATTAGGTGCGAACATTGTAAATGCTGAAAATCAGTCTGTTTCGTGCTCACTATTTTTCTTTTATATGTTTCTCTAATTCATGTAAATATAGTATAATATACTTGTGTACTTAGTGCTGACCCCTGTGGCACTCCTTGTAAATTACGTTTTGCCAGTGTGCAGTTTATATGTGAGCAATAAACAAAATGCGTATGTACTTTCATTAGAAAGTTTCTAACAGCGTCTTGGTACGAGTGTCTTAGATATTAATTTATTTTTCCATTTATGTGCATTACAATAATTAAAGTTTTCTCGTGTTATTTATTCGTGTAACTTTGAAGTATTATAAATATAATATAAATGTTAGTTTTTTGTAAAAGAACCTTAGAAGTGGAACGTGCTTACAAATCTACGAAAGTTTCTATCTGTATTAGCCTTGAATTGTTTCACGATTTAAAATTGAATAATTAATTCATTCAAGATAAGTTGCGCAATTTGTACTCCATTTTAGTACGAATAGAAGAATCTTAAAGAAACGAACTCCTAGCTTTTCTAATGAGCAAGAAGAGTAATTGTAAAGTTCATAAGTCGTCTTTAGTTCTTCATTGTGATCCTGCTTTGCATTACAATATATCCCGCAAAGTGTCACGGTTTTGTGAACGGATATTAATAAGTTATCACGGGTGTTGTCGCCATTGTTACTCGTTCTTGCCTATCAATCCTTTTAAGACTGCTATTATAACATCTTACAATACATGCAATTAGTTCCATTAGGACTCTTTGTTTTAAAATAAATTGTTTCTAGTTCATTTTGAGCAACAAGAAACCAGTATGGCGTCATTCATATTTTATGGATTCTTTATTGCATGTCAAAAAGATTATGTCAAGTACCTATCTAAATTGGAATGTTAAGATTTCCTGATAACCGACATTTTCAGTGACATAATCGCACTCCGCTATGAACTTATCTATCTTATAGTAAAACTATAGTACTTCTTGACAATTGACCTAAATTGACATTATCAACCCATTAATGTCACCTTTGCTGAGGTTTTACTTGTGGAAAGGCGAATATGCTGTACCACCTTAAACTCCTATTATTAATATATCTCTCTGCTCGTCTAGTATCGAATACCAATCCAACTGATGCAGCTGGCATGAGCAATACTTGATACTTGACAGTGCATTTTTTCAAATAATGGATAGGCATAAGATAAAATCGTATCCCATGATCGATGGTTGCGACATTTATACTCAATCTCCGCAATCTCTGATAGAAGTTTCAACCACACGTTTTCATTAGCTGACTTCAACAGTTATCAAACGGAGTAACTCGGAAACAATACACAATTCTGCTGGAACAAATTTTGTTACAGGATTGTATTATTCATCAAGCCTTTGCCATAATTAATATCTTTATCTAAGAGATACGAAGTGGTTTAGCGAAGTGGTGGTTGCTATGCAAATTGTGGCGGCTCATAATGATCTGTAGCTCAAGATTTTGTTTGCCTCATGCTTAGCTTAAACTTTTTGATAATATTGTTTGTGTATTTCCCATTCAGATGATAATTATTGTTGGTAACCTTATCCGCACAGCTTATTTCAAATAATTCGTTCTCATCGTCATATGACCAAGCCGATGAATGTACGACAGCGCGTAATGATTGTATTGCTACATCATGTTTATTCCCGCATAAAGTATCAAGATGACTCATTGTAAAAATGTTGTTGCTCTTTTAGTAAGTAGTCGGGTATTTTGTACTTAATAATGCTTAACAGGGACTTGATTGCCATATTCTTTTTTTAATTCTATCAATGTTTGTCGAAATTATGATCGAATAATTAAACTTCTTGTTTAACCTTTTTTTTTTATCGTTTTATTGCTTTATATGTGTGTATAAATGGAGTTGTTTGTTAATAACGCACACACGAGCCGCAAGCAGCTTAAAGCGTGCAATTTTCTTTTATTAAAACGTGGTTTTAGTCAAATGGACCGTTGTCAGATAAAAGTGTGAATTCATAAATAATGATTGGTACGTTTCCGCGAACAACAATAGGTACTTACTACGTTCGTTATGAAATGTGAGAAATACCGTGCAGTCTCTTCACAAAGCAACATGATCTTATGGCATATCGTACTGAGTTTTGTTAAATAAGTTGGGCAGTTCCTCTAGTATAACTTCTCTCTTCTTTATTATAAAGTAAGTAATCCATCATTGGGTCGGAACTAAATTATTATTGAGATGATTGTATAATGAAAGCGTAATTATAAGAAGATCCATTGTACATAGTGTTACCATCCATCCGTATTTTTCCGGACATGTTCGTACTTTTTAATTTGTCCGGTTTTTTTAGATGGAATATGAGTAAAACTACTTGTTAAGTTATATCAATGCGATGCTAGCGTCTGCTACCAAGCGTTAGTATCACTGTAACTAAGTGGGTGATGTTTGCATTTTGTGACTAAAATGTGCGTAGTTTTATCAAAACGTTCGGCTTTTCGCCAGGACTTTTCAAATTTTTAAATAGTAACCCTAATTGTACATGACGTAACTAGGTATTGTTCATTGAATAGTTTGCCATGTCTCAAATGATTAAGTACTTCGAAACTTATTAGTTGCAATAATGTAAATGAGATGAGTCAGTTGGTGTGTATCTTATCCCAACAGACGGATGTTACTATGAAAGTAGGTATTCGATTTTTTAGCGCATTGTATTGTGCGAATGAAACGTAATACGGGCCATTATGACTGTTCGAAGGGGCGTTAACGAGACTTCCACGACAACAACACAGAGATGAGGTTGATGATCCAAGTTAACTGTAACGTAATGTATGTAAACTTAACTGTTACTGGACCATTTAATGGTTCAGCTACACGCAAACATACAAAACGAGCGGGCTTTGGTGAGAGTAGGAGTTTCATGGTTGTTATATTTTTTAATGCAGATAAGAATGTGTTAATCTCTAGTAATGGATATCATGATAACGGCAGTTAGATTAT